CCAGCGCGCAAGAAGGCTGAAGGATATGCTACTTCGGAGGCTTGTGAGCTTTGCTCTTCTGGAGCCCCAGGCACTCTTGGGCACCAGTTTTACGATTGCCCTTCTCTCCTCTCGCCTCCTGAAGAACTTGAGCTTGATCAGATGCCCGAAGAGGTCTTGGAGCGCAGGGAATTTCTGAAGGGCCTTGGAGAGCCTGGGTTAGGCACTCCTGATTGGGACACTCCTGAGCTTGCCTTTGGGTTGCCCACTCATCCCATCCGGCTGCCGCCCGATGACCCGCACTGCCCTGTGCTCGCCTGGGGAGCTACCAGTGAGGTTTGGGGGCGGCGTGTCTACACCGATGGCTCGGGGCTAGCTAACGGGCTAGCTAACGCCAGCCCCGAGCTGCGAAGGTGCGGATGGGCCGTCGTCGAGATGGGCCCTTGTGGGCTCCCTGCCAGGGCGGTGCACGGCCCCTTACCTGGGCGCCAGTCGGTGCCCCGCGCTGAGCGCTACGAGGGGTGGTGCGCGCTGAAGGTAGCTCCCCAGATTGAGACCCTGTGTAGCGACCACCTTGCCGTTGTACAGGGGGGCCAAAGCTGGGACCCCTTTTCTAGCCTCTGCCCGAGGAAAGCACGCTGACGTCTGGCGACACATTTTCCAGGAACGTTCTCCCAGCAGGTGCCCTCCTGAGTTTGTCTGGGTCAAGGCTCACCGTGGGCCCAAAGACGCGCTCGACTCAGACCCTCAAGCTATTTTTGATTTTTTGGGAAACCATTGGGCCGACTTGTTCGCCCGTCTGGGAGCCCAAGTGAACCAGGTCGCCCAAGTTGCAATGGACGCCGAAGCCGCCCACTTAAAGCATAATAAGCTGACCTGGGGGGTTCTTTCGAGTGCTGTGCAGACTGCCAGTGCCATGGCTAGCTGTCTTGATAGCCCTGCAGAGCCCAGTCGGACCGTGCACAGTGGCCCGAGGCTTGCGTTGGCAGAGCATGACTTACATTATTTTGCTGCGTTAGGTGTCTGGCGGTGCCGCGACTGTAATGCTTCAGCGCCATCGCAGTCTACCCTCAAAGGCCTGCGAAGCGGTGCTGCCAGGCATTGCCACCCGACTGCCACCCAGAGGTGGCGAGCGCAGCTGTTCTTCGCTGAGAACCTTGGGTCGACCTCCGAATCGTCCCAAGCGGCCCCTGCTGCCCTCGCCCTGGCCGAAGAACTCTTGGGTCCTGGGGAGCCCCCCGACCCTCCTGTGGTCCTGGTTCCGTCTCCTCCTCTGCCTCCTGCGGGAACCTCTGGCCAGGGCACCGATGGGCTTGAAGTCTTTCGTGAGTTGAATCACAGGCCAGTTCGACATGGCCGAACGATTATTTGCCTGTCTTGCACATGTTTCCTCATTTTGCCCTCAGGGCATTGTCGTGGCTTGAAGCGGATGTGTATAGGTGCCGCTCGAGCCCGTGCCGACCGTGCAGTGCAGGCTAAAAAGCTGTTGAATGCTGTGCGCGGGAAGCACCCCACGACAGGTGACCTCCTCGATCCTGTGCCCGGCCGCGACGCGGCTGGACGTTGCCGCCACTGCTGCCTCTTCTCGTGGGGATGGGGCTCGGGCGGAGGACTTCTCGGGGGAGGGATCCGACTCATCTGACTAACTGGGCTGGGAGCGGCGCTCCCCCCCAGTTCCTGCTGTAATGTAGCTGCCGTGGCGGCCTGCCGCCGCGGCTCGGGCGCTCTCTTGCGGCCCGCAGTGCCTACCTGGCCCTGCCTTCCCAGCGGAGTGGTAGGCTCCCCAGCTTATCGTTCTGTCCTCTCTCTGTCATCAGCGCTGCGCTAGTCACTGACACGCGCTTCCGCTGGCTCGCTCGCTCGTTCCCTCCCACCTTACCGCCCTCCCTCCTCTCTCCCTCATTCCTCTTCCGTCTCTCCCTCCTTCGTCCCTTTCATCTCCCTCCTCTCTGGTCACTCTTTCATACTCCTTTCTCCGTCCTACCTCTTGTCTCCTCCTCCTCCTCCTTCTCCTCCTCCTCCTCCTCCTCCTCCTCCTCCTCCTCCTCCTCCTCCTCTCCCTCCTCCCTCCCTCCCTCCCCTCCCTCCCTCCTCATCCTCCTCCTCCTCCTCCTCCTCCTCCTCCTCCTCCTCCTCCTCCTCTTCATCCTCCTCCTCCTCCTCCTCCTCCTCCTCCTCCTCCTCCTCCTCCTCCTTGTCCTCCTCTCCTCCTCCTCCTCCTCCTCCTCCTCCTCCTCCTCCTCCTCTTCCTCCTCCTCCCTCCTCCCTCCTCCTCCTCTCCTCCTCCTCCTCCTCCTCCCTCCTCCTCCTCCTCCTCCTCCTCCTCCTCCCTCCTCCTCCTCCTTCTCCTCCTCCTCTTCCCTCCACGCCTGGGGCTTGCGCCAGGCAGGGCTGCAGAGGAGGAGGGGGTCGCCAAGACTCGCGTTCTCACCTCAACGCCGGCTGCCTTTTTTGGGTTCAGAAGGCCACGACCCCTTGCTAAAATTAGGTCAGGCGTGTCCCCCTACAGGCGGATTTTGAACGAACCAAAAAAAGCAACAGATACCTCAACATACTCACACACACAAAACAAAAACGTCCCCGGACTAGTTTTGACTATTCTTGAATATTCCCCGTGGAGGGGGACACGCCCGACTTAATGCTAAAATTACCCGAGACGCACCCAGCCCCTTCTCCCTGCAAGGCGACTACTACAAGGAGGGCTCTCTACAAACGAACACACTGAGAGATATGCAGCACTGCTTGCGCATGAAAATACAATACCGGGCAGCTGGCAGTCTCGCTAGAAGCCGCGAGGTCTCCTCTGGGTGCACGTGGCCCCCGACTCCGCTGGACCACCCAGGAGCCCACGAAAGCGGCAGCGAGTGCGCAGTTCGCAGCCTCCCAGGGAGCGGCGAGGTCTCGCCTGCGTGCGAGTGGCCCCCGACTCCGCTGGACCTCCCAGGAGCCCACGCAAGCGGCGACGACTGCGCAGTTCGCAGCCACCCAGAGAGGAGCTCAGAAGGAGGCAGGAGGAGGGGGAGAGGCGGGAGGCGAGAGGGGAGGCGGAGACCGCAGGGCTCTATGCAAAACGAAGACCCAACGCACGGAGGCTGGGAGAAACATTGAGGTGCACGTTGCCGTGCTGTCGCTTCAATGCCGGCTAGGTACATGTTTGGCCTGGACGGCTACGGTCCCTTGAACATGCAGGCGTGAGTACCGTCGTTGTGGTTATCGCCTTCGGTGGATCTCTCCAGATCGGGCCACGAAGCGTGTGAAAGATGTACCGCAATGGGGCGGGACCGCCATGGGGTCGCTGCCACTGGGGCCTGCACCGGAGCTCCCTATACAGCCACACGAAACGTGTGAGGTGTGCGCCGAGTCGGGGTAGGGTACGCCATGCGGACTGTGCCGCTGGGGCCTTCGATGGAGCTCCCTATACAGCCACGAAACGTATGAGGGGTGAGCCGAATCGGGGGCGAGTACACCATGCGGACTGTGCCGCTGGGGCCTTCGGTGGAGCTCCCCATGGGGCCACGAAACGTGTGAGGTGTGTGCCGAAGCAGGTGCGGGTACGCCATGCGGACTGTGCCGCTGGAACCTTCGGTGGAGCTTCCTACGGAGCCAAGAAACGTGTGAAGGGGTGCCGAATCAGGTGCGGGTACGCCATGCGGACTGTGCCGCCGGGGCCTTCGGTGGAGCTCCCCATGGGGCGACGAAGCGTGTGAGGGGTGAGCCGAAACGGGTGCGGGTACGACATGCGGACTGTGCCGACGGGGCCTTCGGTGGAGCTCCCCATGGGGCCACGAAACGTGTGAGGGGTGGTGCGGACTGTGCCGCTGGGGAATTTTCGGTGGAGCTCCCGATGGGCCACGAACCGTGCGAAGGGTGCCCCGAATCGGGGGCGAGTACGCCATGCGGACTGTGCCGCCAGGGCCTTCGGTGGAGCTCCCCATGGAGCGACGAAGCGTATGAGGGGTGAGCCGAAACGGGTGCGGGTACGACATGCGGACTGTGCCGCCAGGGCCTTCGGTGGAGCTCCCCATGGAGCGACGAAGCGTATGAGGGGTGAGCCGAAACGGGTGCGGGTACGACATGCGAACTGTGCCGACGGGGCCTTCGGTGGAGCTCCTTGTAGGGCCACGAAACGTTCGGGGGGTGCGCCGAATCAGGTGTGGGTACGCCAGGCGGGGTGTGCCGCTGGAGCCTTCGGTGGAGCTTCCCTGTGGGCCCCCGAAACGTGTGAGGGGTGGTTCGAATCGGGGGCGGGTGCGCCATGCGGAGTGTGCCGCTGGGGAAACTTCGGTGGAGCTCCCCATGGGGCCACGAAACGTGTGAGGGTTGTGCCGAATCGAGGGCGGGTACGCCATGCGGACTGTGCCGCTGGGGCCTTTGGTGGTGTGCCGACCTGGTTGACATGCGGAGGGCAGAGACAGGGATGGGAGGAGGGAGGAGGGGCACGAGAGGAGGAGGAAGAGGAGGAGGAGGGCAAGTAAGAGAGTAAAGGACAGGGACGCGGGGAGCCGTCTCTTCAAAACGAAGACCCAACACCACAGGATGGCCGGGAACAAAACACTAAGGTGCACATCGCCGTGCTCTCACCCATGTCCCGGCCGCTTCTTTCTCCGGGCTCCTTGGGAATTCCCAGGAACGCACGTTTTCAACAGCCAGCCTCGCACTCCTCGACCCTCCCCTTCACATCTGCTGCTACTGGGGTAACCCCTACCTCGAAAGGCGGCATCGGCAGCGGCGGCGACGGCGGAGGCTCCAAGGCTCCAGGCCGCCGAGCTTAGTGCTCGGGGCACTCCTCGGGCCTTCGGCGGCGTTTCGGGGCGATCTGGGCACTCCCGCCACGCCGACTCGGCGCAGGCGCAGCTGCTGGAGAGCGCAGCCCGAGGCGAGCAGACCGCCGAGAACCGCCGAGGACATCCAACGGGCCGCTCGACTCTCGATCGAGCGGCGGCAACGACGCCCTCCGCATCTGGGCGGCGGCGGCGGCGGCGATGGGGGACGCTCCGAGGCTCGGGGCCGCCAGCGCCCGCCTTGCACGCGCCCGGCTCCCGCGGGCTCCTCGCCTTCAGGCCCTCCAGCGCGGCCGTCCGGCTGCGCTCGGTGGCGGGCTCCTCGCTGTGGCGAGGGCGCGCGGAAGGTGCGCCCCGAGAAGCCCTCGGCAGGCCTCCGTCGGAGGGCCTCCAGAGGTCTTCGGAGGGCCTTCGGGAGTCCTCCGAGGCTTCTTGGAGAGATCCAGGAGACCTCCAGAGGCCTCCGCGGAAGGCACGCTGCACACCACCGCCATGCCCAGGCAGGGCCACTCGGGCCGTGGCATGCACTCCTGGCCCGGTCTCTGAGCCACCCTGGGCGCAGCATGGCCCTGGCCAGGCTTGACGGTGGTGCACTTGCTTGGTCGCGGGCACGGCGAACGCGCGAATCGAGTGAGCAGACACTGGGCGGCAGCCGGGCGGGTTGTGCACCGGAGAGGGAACGGGCGAGAACAATGGGAGGACACATGCGAGGCAGGAACTTATCCATATCCACCGCCTGGGGAATCGATGTCCTGGGACCCCAGGGGGCGGTGGACATGGACATGTGTGGGCCCCAGGGGGCCCGAACATACCCACATCCACCGCCTGCGAGGGTCCCGGAACATCGGATTTCCAGGTGGTGGTCATGGATAATCCTCGCCTCGGATGGATGGCCCTGGGCAGGCATGACGGTGGTGTACGCAGGCGGGCAAAGGCGCAAACAAGCAGAAATTCGCCTGCATTTCCGAGCGTGGCGGACCAATGGCGATAGATGTTTCGTGGCCCCCTGGGGCCCGAAACTGGGCCACTGGGAGGCGAAAGGGTGGAACAGAAACGGGCGCCACATGTGTTTCGTGACGCCAGATCACAGACCCCCGACGTCGTGATCCTCTCACAACGTAGTCATCCAGAGGTATGGATCTATTCCCGAGGACTGGAGTCTCATGTCGAGTCTTCGTTTGACGGCACTGGGGCGTGCCAAGGGTTCTGGATGCTGAACGCTGCCTAAAATAATCAGTTGCACGATTGCTCCTGACGCAAGGAGGTCTGGGGTCTGGGCATTCAGGAAGACAAGGGAGCGCGCCGAGGCATTCCGACATCGCTGTTCACAAGAGGTGTGGCAGCCCCACTCCCCGACTTGCAGTGGGAATTTCGGGGCCCCGCTCAGGGATACACGATTGGTGGCGTCCATCCTACATAAGGGGACCGTCCGAGTAGCCCCCTGGGGAGCATCCCCGAATCCCCCTTCTCTCCTAAACCGAATGTTTTAGGAGGGGGCCTGGAGAGGGCCGGCCGGCGGCCGGAAACGGCCAGGACCCTCCCGCCGTCCCCGGGGATCGGACGGCGCGGACAGCGCGCGAGCTCGCAGCAAAAGGTCCCCACAGCCCCACGCTCCCGCGTGACTCCGCGAGCCCCGTCGATCTGTGAGGGCCCCTGGGGCCCAGGACCTCGGCGGGAGTCCGCCCCAGTGCGACAGAGTCGCGACGCCAGGATCTCGGGGTCTTCTGCGGCTGGTCCGCGGCGCGAGGGAGCGCGCCACGGCGCCCCCCCCCCCCGAGGGGCACCGATAGGAGGGGACCGGCTCAAGAGCTTGAAGCGGCCATACGTCGCCGAGGCATCGGCGATGGGCCCCCGGATGGCGAAACCGCACGGTCCTGGGCGGGGTCCGAGAACCTCGACAGGAGAAGGTCCGAAGACCTCGTCCGCGAACATGCGAAAACGTCTGGGGCCCCCCCTAACGTTGCCCCCGAGCCTCCCGCGCGGGGCTCCACGGGGGCCCGCGCGGCAGCGCGCCCGGCCTTCGACCTCACCGTGAACGGGATGACCTCTCTCTCTCTCTCTCGCAGGAGCAGGAGGGGCAGGGGGTTCCTCCTCCTCCTCCTCCTTCTCCTCCTCTTCCTCCTCCTCATCGTCATCCTCATCCTCATCCCCCTCCTCCCCCCCCCTGCCCCCTCCTCCTCCTTCTCTTCCTCCTCATCTCCCCTCGGGGCGCGACCGTGGACCCCTTCTTACCCATTGGCTTTCTTCGGTCGTCAGTGATCGTCGGCGGTCTCCCGGCGGTCTTCGGCGGTCTCTGGCCGTCGTCGGCGCGAAAGCCAAACGGCTGCGTCTGACAGGGGGCCCACGAACACCTAAAGAACCTACAGCAACTTCTCGAAGGGCCTGGGGGATAGGAGGAGGACAAGGAGGAGGACGAGGAGGGGGAGGGCGACGACGCCAGCGACGAGCAGGGGGCAAGCGTGCAAGGGAGAGAAAGACGGCCACTCTGATCTGCGAGGGTCTTCGGCCGAGGGGAAGGCGACGACGACAGCGACAAGGACAAGGAGCAGGACAAGAAGGAGCACCACGAGACAGACAACCGAAGAGAGGAGCGGGAAGAGGAGCGGGAACAGGACGACGATGAGCAACACAGAAATTAGCACCGGTACCAGTCTCGGGGATCGATCGCCTCCGCCAGTGGAAGACTCGTCATCGAGTTCCGTTAGTAGTGGTCTTGAGGCCAGCCGCCTGAGACCCAGAAGCCTGAATATCACCACCACCACCACCACCACCACCACCGAGATCCAGGGTCATCTTCCCTCAGCGATGGTGACCGCCGACATTGGCGTCGATGCCAACTTCAGGCCTCCGAGACGAGAAGTAGCAACAGTAACGGGGGAGATGGCGACGCCAATCCCCAACCTAGTGTGCCTTGCGACTGGACAAACAATCAGGGTCCAACTCGGAGATATACGAGGGGGGAAGACATCCTCGATAGCGGTGCGTCCGAATAGCCTCCTGGAGGTGTACCCCCCGTCTTGTGCGAAACTTCATTAGTATAGGAACAAGAACCGGCATAATCATAATGTCTCAGGGGTCCGTATGGGTCTCTCGGATCGGCACTTGACACCCCTCTCAAGCACGCGGAGCGCGTCAGGGACGGCGCTGGAGGCGCCGCCAGGGAAGCCAAGCGCCGATCCAAGAAACCCGCGCTGAGCTCCAAAAGTTCATGTGCACACTGCTTTCCTTCTTCGAGAGCAGACCCCTGGAAATGTATCCCCGAGGTCCCCCTCTTTTTATAGGGGAACAGAAAGTGACATAAACATAAAAACTCGGAGGTCCGCGCGGATTTCTCGGATCGGCGCTGGGGCCCCCCGGCGGCGCCTCCGGCGCCGCCCCTGGCGCGCTCCGCGCGCCAGGGAGGGGGGTCCAGCGCCGATCCGAGAAATCCGCGCGGACCTCCGAGTTTTTATGTTTATGTCACTTTCTGTTCCCCTCTTTTTATCAACGAGCGAGAGATCTCACGAGCACAGACTTTCGGCGGCTCGCGCGACGTTCTCGGAGCCGGCGCCGCGGAGGGCGCGCGGAACGCGGGTAGGGAGCGGCGCTCTCTGGGGGGCGCCGCCCCGGGGGGGGGGCGAAGGGGGCAAGCGCCGACCGCGCTCTGGGGGCGCCGCCCGGGGGGGGGGGGGGGGGGGAAAAGGGGCAAGCGCCGAAAGCCTGGAGATCCGCGCGGGCCTGTCCCCCTACAGGAGGGTTTTCGACGAAAAATGCAAAATACCCCAAAGATACACCAAAAACGTAAAACAATATTCAACAAAAAACAGTCCCCAGACTATTTTTGAACAATTTTTTGATTATTTTCGGGGTATTCTTTTTCCCTACCTAGGCTCTGCCTAGAAGGGCTCTTACTCTCTAGCTTAAAGGGGCCGGGCAGTGGAAAGCGCCCCGGGCGGTTCCCCCAGTCCCCGCCCCGCGGTTCCCCCAGTTGCGCCCCCTGGGTTCACCCAGCTTAGCTTAGCTTAGCTTAGCTTAGCTTAGCTTAGCTTAGCTTGGCTTAGCTTAGCTTAGCTTAGCTTATCTCATCTTAGCTTAGCTTAGCTTAGTTTAGCTTTGTCTAGCCTAGCTTAGCTTGGCTTAGCCTAGCTCATCTTAGCTTATCTTAGCTGAGCTTAGCTTAACTTTGCTTAGTTTAGCATGGCTTAGCTTAGTTTAGCTTAGTTTAGCTTAGCTTAGCTTAGCTTCGCCTAGCCTTACTTAGCTTTGCTTAGCTTAGTTTAGTTTAGCTTAACATACCTTAGCTTAGTTTAGCTTAGCTTAGCTTAGCGCAGCGCACCTTAGCTTAGTTTAGCTTAGCTTAGCTTAGCGCAGCGCAGCATAGCGCAGCGCAGCATGAGCACAGCATGAGCACAGCATGGCATAGCCAAGCATAGCATAGCATAGCACAGCATAGCATAGCTCTGCATAGCATCACATAGCATATCACAACAGTGCATCGCATAGCATAGCATAGCATAGCATTGCTTAGCATAGCACAGCGCAGCATAGCATTGCATAGCACAGCACATCACAGCATAGCATAGCATATCATTTCATAGCATAGCATAGCGCAACATATCATAGCATAGCACAGCATAGCATAGCGCGGCTTATAATGTCATATCATAGCCTAGCATAGCATAGCATAGCCCAGCATAGCATAACATAGCATAGCATAGCACAGCATAGCATAGCATAGCATACCACTACTACTACCGCTACTGCTACAACTGCGACGATGAGGAGAAAGAGGAGGACGGCGTTTACCGCTACTACTAATATTGCTCTCCTAGGGGCTCCAACTCCTAGGTAGGGTCGCTCTGGGATAATCTATTTTTCGTTGAAAATCCCCCTGTAGGGGGACACGCCCGACTTAAGCCTGGAGATCCGTGCGGGCCTCCCAAAGCTCACGGTCGAAACAGAGCCACAGGAGCGCGGGTCGAGAACACGAGCCACAAGAGATCCGCGCGGAGCTCCAGGAGCTCACGCGCGTGCAACTGCTCCTTCTCCGAGCCGAGGTCCCGGGGGCCGTGTGGACGTGCCCGAACGCGAGGGACATGACAAGGGCAGCCTCTTGAGCCCTCGTGCCGGCCGTTCGTCCCAGGGGAACGGAAGCCACCGATGCCGCCACGCCACGGACCTCTCCCGGGGTGCGCCCTGGCCAGCACCCCCCAGCACGAGCCCGGCCGTGGCGACGAGAGCCTCCCACGAGGCCCAGAAGCGCGAGCGAGCGGCAGAAGGATACGGCAGGTTCGTGTCGTGGCGAACTCGGCGTTGGTTCCTGACACCGCGGGGATCGTTCAACCTTGAAGGATCGGCCGTTTCTGGAGCGTCAGATCGTTCAACCTCGACCGATTCCGGGTCGTCAGCGGCGTTCAGCGTTGAACGCCAGCGGCGGGTTCGCCGCCGGTCGACACGACGCGAACCTACCGTAGCGATGTTGGAACCTCTTGTCCTCCTCCTCTGCTGCTTTTGTTCTCCCCTGTCGAATAGTCGGCTGCACGTAAGAGTGACTCTAGGCAAGAGTGACCTTTGGTGCGCGGCTTTCTTTCGGGGGGCGCGAGGGGGGGCAAACCTAAGCGCGCAGGCCGCTGCTATCGCATCGCTCTCAGCGATCGGGAGGACCCCAATGAGCCCGCACCAAATGTCACTCCGGCGAAGGCTTACTCTTGCGCGTAGTCGTGGTCGATGGGAAAACCAAAAGGTTCCGATAATTACCGCTACTCCACGGACCTCTCCAGGGGCACGCTCTGACCAGACTTTCGAGGCGACTCCAGCGGTGGCGGCGAGGGTCCTCCAAAAAGGAGAAAACGAGGCAAGGGCAGCGATTTGGGTGCATTTTCCTCCCCTGAGTCGAAGATTGGAGGCCTGGAAGTGGGCACCAACGCCAACACAGGGGGTTGCCTCCACATGGGGAAGCTGACCCTGGACCTCGGTGTCGGCGGCACTCGTTCGGTCACCCTGGGAGCCAGAACACTACCACCGGCACCGAGATCGGGATCTTCCTCCCTCGCTGGAGGCACACCGCCGATCTTGGCGTTGGTGTCCACCTCTGCAGTCGTGGCGTTGACCTAAGGAACCCTAAATAAGGAACGAGGCCCCCTTTTCCCATGAGTTCAACCTCGATTTCCCATGGAAAACCTCAGGAAAGCCCGAGGCAAACTTCGAAACAAACAAGGAACACCGAGCCCCTCCCCAACGAAAAGGGCTCCTTCTTCAGGGCCCCGACTGTAAGTGAGTCTGAGACATCCTCGCAATCTGGGCACCTTGGGGTGTCAAACCCGGCGCCTCACCCGAGACATCCTCAGAATCGACTCTAAACGCAGACGAATCTGGCCACCAAAACAAGCAAACCGCCCGAGACATCCTCGCAATCAGGGCCTCCTGGGTTGCGAAAACCAGCGCCTCGCCCGAGCCAGGGCCGCCGCGCAGGGCCTGGTCACCGTCGACCAGCCCGTACGGGTCGCCGAGGAGCTCGCTCTGGGCGCGCCGGGGCTGCCTCCCGGCCTGGGGCGGGCAGGGGCAGGGGCAGCGTCGGGTCGGGGCGTCGTGCGCCTGATCGGAAGGTGCGCCGTCGGGCGCGTCCCCCCTATGGGCGGTTTTGGACGAAGAGCTAAAGAAATAGCCAGAAAAATACTACAGAACAATGCTCAGAAAGGCTCCAGAACTGGTCCCCCGACTAGTTTCTGGCTCTTCTTGAATATTCCGCCTGTAGAGGGACAGGTCCGACTGAACGGAGGATGCGCCGTCGGGCGCGGCCTGGCCGACCCCTCGCATGGGACGCACACAGATATACGAATACTATATGTCCTCCTTGGGGGCGCGCGTCCGGCCCGAACATGTAGTGTACCCATCTGGTAGTATACCGCTTCCCGAGCGGCGCGGCCAGGAAGCACCTGCCACGACGCGCACACGACAAGACTTCCGGGTGCGCGCGTCGCCCCCGGGGGGGCAACGCACAGACATAGTAGAAGCATGTCGGGGCGACGCCGATCGCAAACCGTCCCCTTCCGTGCCGTCTTGGGAAGGGCCAGGCGTACCCCCAGGCCGACGTACCCCCAGTGAGGTGCCGCGGCGGCCACGGACCCAGCCACAGTGGGCGCCGAGGCGCCATCCTGGGCGCCACGGGGCGGGCCCTGGGGCCCCCACTTCAGGGTACGCCTGTTCGGGGGCACGTTTGGCCCCCCCTGAACGTCGTCGTCCTCCTCCTCCAGCTCCTCCTCCTCCTGCGTTTCTGCGTTCTGTGATCGATGATGCGTCGCATTAAGTTTGGCCCTTCGCTGCCGTCGCTTGTTACTACATTGCCCAATGTGAGTCCCTGGGTCGTGACTTCAGCTGTGGTAGCGTCGATGCTGGTCAGCGGTTGGCCCTCCTCGCGGTGCAGCGTGACAGGGTTGGTCTGGAAGATCTTTCCTCCCCCTCCTCCTCCTCCTCCTCCTCCTCCTCCTCCTCCTCCGCCTTTCAAGCGTCCCTGCGGCCGCACACAGACGTCTCGGGGCGAGGCGCGGGGGGGCGTCACGGAAGGGGACGGTCTGCTGCAGGGGGCGACCAGGCCGCCGCCGAGCGTCAGATCGAGCGGCACCGACGCAGAGTCGACATCGAATCGAGCCGAAACTCTCCAGGGACGGGCGGCCCCGGCGCGGCGCGGACGACGAGGGGCAGAAGATTCAAGGGGCCCAGGGACACACAAATAAATGCGCACAAATCCCAGGATTCCCCATCTTTTCCCTTAGTTTCTTGGTTTATGTCTTTCCCCCCACTTCCAATATTTTCCCATACTTTCCTGGGAATCGACGATTAATTGTGTCTCTGTGCTTTTACCCTCCTGAAAGATGGCAGGAGGAGGATGAGGAGGCGGAATCCCAAAGATCAGTCAGCATCAAGCCGGGAACCCGGATCGAAGAAACGGAAAGCGCATGGGGTCCCAGCGCATCGGCACGGAGTCGAGCCACGGAAGGCGGAGAGCTTCTCAGAAACTGGGGGCCTGCTGAGAAAGCCCCGAGGGCTTCTCGGAAGCCGAGCGGGCTTCGGAGAGGCCCCCCTGTCTTCTCAGAACCCCGCCGCCTTCTTGGAAGACCGCCCCCCTCACGCCACCCCTTTGTGGGCGTCGCCAAGACTGTGCATCGGATCGGGCCGCATCGACACGGCCCCGAGATCGAATCGGCTCGGCCGCGCCAGAAGGCACAACAAACGCCTGGCGAGCATCGGGCGGCACCCGTTCGCTGGAACATCGGAATCGCATCGGTCGGGCCGGCAGAAATCGACATCGAATCGGATCGACTGGATCGCACTGGCGGATGAGGGGGGCGAGGAACATGCAAGCCAGTGTGAACCCAAAACATTGTGTCTCTAGCAGTATGCGTTGTGCAGCATATGCTGTGCAAAGTATGTGATGCAATCTACGTGGTGCAATCTGAATCCCACCAGCCCTTTGGGCGTGAGTGGTTTAGCGAGCTCTCTCTGTTCTCAACCCCCCATCTTCCCCTTAGGGGAGGGGTTTACCCCTCCCCCTACCCCCTCCCCCTGGACCTGGACAGGGAGTCCGGGGCGTAGTCAGGGGGGTCTTTTTTGAGTCCTGGGAGGGCCAAAAAACGACGACCCTCACGAGGATTCTGGCCCCGTCGGGGGGATACAGTTTGGCCCCTCTGCTCTTCTTTGAAGCCAAAATCGTTGATTTTACTACGGTTTTGGCCCCATTTTGGCGTCCTGAGGGGGCCGCGCTCATCTTCCTTCATAGCAAAATCATTGCTTTTACGAAGGTTTTGGGCTCATTTTGTTCTTTTCAGGGGGCAGCTCTCATTTGCGCTTCTGAGGAGGTCGCAAGAGGCCCCAAGATGGCCCCAAGAGGCTCCCAGGAGGCTCCCAAGAGGCCTCCAAGAGGCCCCCCAGAGGCCCCCCAGCGGTCCCAAGAGGCCCCCAAGAGGCCCCCAAGAGGCTCCCAAGAGGCCTCAAGAGGCCCCAAGAGGCCCCCAAGAGGCCCCCCAGAGGCCCCCCAGAGGCCCCCAAGAGGCCCCAAAAGGCTCCAAGAGGCCACCAAGAGGCCCCACGAGGAGCCCGAACGACTCACACCAGGCCGAGGGGCCCGAACGACTCACACCACGATTAGCCCGAACGACTCACACCACAAGGAGGGGCCCGAACGACTCACACCAGGACGAGGCGCCCGAACGAATCACACCACGAGGAGCCCGAACGACTCACACCAGGACGAGGGCCCCGAACGACTCACACCACGAGGAGCCCCAACGACTCATACCAGGAGGAGGAGCCCGAACGACTCACACCAGGACGAAGGGCCCGAACAACTCACACCACGAGAAGCCCGAACGACTCACGCCAGGACGAAGAGCCCGAACGACTCAAACCACGACGAAGAGCCCGAACGACTCACACCAGGAAGAAGGGCCCGAACGACTCACACCAGGACGAGAGGCCCGGAGATATGCGGGGGCAGGCGGAAACACGCCTGAAAAACACGACTGTCGGCATGCTTCGCAGGAGTTGCTGTTTTGAGATGGGCTGGTGGGGATACGCGAAGCGTGAAGAATTTGTCAACGCCACTGCTCGCGCAAGTATCCGACCTACTCAACCGCAAAATCCACGCGGCGGCGACTGCGATGGCTGCTTGGCGCGTCCTGGTGCATCGCTGCGGCCGCGCTAGGGCACGCAAGCTCGTGCGCAGAGCGGCCGGCCAGCTAGTCTGGCGCCACTGACGCGGCCGTGGTGGCGCTGACCGCTGGGGACTCCTCAGCGCGTCTCGCAGGCCGCGCTGACGCGCGGGGACTTCAGTACGAGTCAGGAACTCGGGCGGGCGCGGTATCATGGCGACGTCGACGAGAATGACGACGGCAAGGCCAATGACGACGCCGATGCTGATCACGCTGATTACGATAATGGTGTCCACGTGTCGGTGGCAACAATCCTAAAAGGATTTCGACTTGCGCGCGCGGCCGATGGGCGCGAATGGCCCGCATGGTGTGATTTGACAGGGTTCGGGCCCCCTCACATACACACACACACAGCAAGCGCGCAAGGGCGTTCGAATGATTCGACATGCGCGCGCGCAAGGCCCGCTTGGTCACATTTGATGCACATGTTGATAAACCGATGGCTTTCATGAAAATTCGCAAGAGCGCGCACGCAGATTGTGTTATACCCATGTTGTAAAACCATTGGTTGTTTATCTGCTCTCAGAAACCTCGATCTTGAAATCCTTACGACACCAACGGTGTTTGAGGGATTTCGGAATGCGCGCGCGATGCCGCCCGCGTGTGGATTTGTCACATGGATTGCAAGAGGTTCTTGACAATGGATGACTTTGAATAACGAGTGCGCACAAATAGTATTATTTATCAGAAGCGGGGGGATGCGGCAAGATCGTATGTAAACTCCAATACGTGGGGCCGACCAGGTAAGTCTCGGTTGGGGGGGTAGTAGATCCCAGTCTTAAAGAAGAGAACAATGCGGTACAACCTATGTGGTGCAATTGACTACCCTGCACCGCGCTTGACCACCTCCACTGCTCGCGCAAACATCCCACCCACCCACCCGCAACTTGGTTTGCAAAATCTCTTAAGACCGTGACGGTGGGTACCAAATGGCCCTTGGCAACGACAGCGACGCCGACGGCGACAGCGACAACGACGACGACGACGACGCCGACAACGACTACGACGACACCGACGACGTCTCCAACGACTTCGACGACGACAACGACCGACGACGACGACGACGACGACGACGACGACGACGACGACGACGACGACGCCGACGACGACGACGACGACGACGATGACAACGACGACGACGACGACGACGACGACGACGACGACGATGACAACGACGACGACGATGACGACGCCGACGACGACGACGACACCGACGACGACGACGATGACGTCAACGACGCCGACGACGACGACGACGACGACGACGACGACGGCGGCGACGACAACGACGCCGACGTCGACGACGACGAAGACGACGACGACGCCGACGCCGCCGCCGACGACGACGACGAAAACGACGTCGCCAACGAAGACGACGACGAGGGAGGAGGGAGGACGACGACGGCGACAACGACGACAACGACGAGACGAGGAAGGACGGCGACGACGCGAACGACGAAGAAGGAGGAAGGACGGCGACGCCGACGACGACAACGACGAGAGGAGGGAAGACGACGACGACGACGACGACGACGACGACGACGACGGCGACGAAATAGGAGGGACGACGACGAGACGCCGACGACGGACGACGACGACGACGAGGGAGGAGGAGGAAGGACGACCACGGCGACAACGACGACGGAAACGACCACGACGCCAAAGAGGACGACGACGACGAACACGAGGAAAGACAGAGGACGACGTAGGCCACGACGACGACGACGACGACGACGCAAGAGCGCGCGCGCACGCTTTTTTGAAAATCCGTGTTGCGAAACCTTGTGTTTTTGTAGGTTTTCTGGACACACGACTTTGAAATCCTTCCGAAACCGATAC